TACTATTGAACTTAATAGGAATTTTGGAAAATAATCTTAACGCGACAGATATTTAATACATTTTTAAACACTGTATTTAAGTTCATTTATGAGCCTTCGTGACTTAAGAAATGCTATTTACATCAAATTTCTCTTATAAATTGGTTTACACTAAACAAATAAATAAAATAAGTACTTAGTAAGCAAGTATCATAATTATGGGTGCTTGTAATATGCATAAATTATAACAGACACCAGACAGGTTTACGAGAATAGCGGTAACTAAAAAATAATTGACTTTAAGTAACGGCATTAATAACGCTAAGGTTTTACTGGAGATGTTTTTTCTAGTGTTTTTTATTTGTGCGAAATCGATGTTGCATCTCTGTTGACGATAAAATATTAAAGAATTGACATACCTACATAGTTAATTTAACAGAATCTGGAATAAACGTCGGGGTTCTCACAAACCAGTAATGTATGCAACCTAGTTCCAAATGAAAAGACATTATAGACAGTAAAAGACAACCCACCCAAGTCTTCAAAGTAAAATTAAAGGCAACTGAACTTCGACAGCCCTAGTTCTGGGGTTTTCCTTCTATTTCACTTAAGAAAAAATAAATATCAAAGAAACCAGTTCCCTGAGTCAACTCTGTAACGTGTTTCATTTTTAAATCAGGTATGCAAAAGAAAAAAGGTACAAAAACTGTGTGTGTGTCAATTCTGTTATAGTAAAGAATATTTAGGTAGTTAGGTATATGTAACTAAACTTCCAAACCAGACACTTCATGTCGTGTGACGTGCTGTCCCTTGAGAAATATTGCTATTAAAATGTTGAATACCTTATTCTCTTATTGTTATTAATTTTTAATAGAAAATATATGAATAATCCCTTAGATTATTAATAACCCATTGTGTAAATAAAATATAAATTAATAATTTTTATTATGATCCTAGTCAGATACCTTTGAGCCGCTTATATATGTGTCTTAGTAAATAGATTTATATCTATAGGGATGTACTTATTTCCCGCCTAGTAATAGCATCGTACATAAGTACTGTGACTAATATATAAACATGTATATGGCGCGAAACTGTCTTTAACTGAATCGGTATTGAAATTTAAAAATTTGGCTTGCTTTTGGGGCAAAAATACCTACTCGTATCATATTACATGATTCCATGGATCCTTATATACGTATATACCGTATTGGATTAGTTGTGTGAAACAAACTTGTTCTTTTGGACATGCACTAAACCATTTAGGTACCTAGGTACGTGATCCTTCCATAATGTAGATCTCATTAAAAGTAACACCTAATTTGTTACATTGTTTGTTTTACCAGATCGACGTAATAGGTACTATGTCTATCTATTTTAGAAAAAGTCTGATTTCGTTCTTAGATCATAGCCGGATCCCCTGTGTCTAGACACATTTCACCCACTTTTGAAGAAAACAGTGTGGTTGCGACATATCCCTATTTTAAAAGACGTTTCGAGTATCGGTTGAACTCTGATTGCCTGAAACTAGTTTTACCTAAGTGCAGATCAAACTTAAGTATCGATTTTATTAAATAACGCGTTTTAAGTTTTACTCAGTTGAAACTACTTTCAAATATTTATTTGAACTTACAGTCTGTTATCAATTACGTTTCATGATCGACATTTTTTTTTTAGAAAGATAATTCCCGCGTTAGGAATGTCCTGTCCTGTGTCGCGGGGGACTTTACAAACATATATGAAACGGACACAAAGAACATCTAGACTCAAAACAACAATCTGTGGATCACCCAAAGTGTCGTCCTATGAGGGGATCGGACCCACAACACTCAGCGTAGTAGGAAGCGGCGTGGCGACCGCTTAAACCACTACGCCATCCGTGTAATCAAACATTATTATACCGTAATAAAAAAAAACTTTTACTAACATAATTTCTGTAAACACAGTAACAAGCTTGTTGTTCGTCTAAAATTAAATATAATAAATAATAAAATAAAAATGTAAAGTTATCAACTATAACGGAACGTTCAAGTTATTTATCAACACTTGTCATGTTAAATTGTCAAATAATGTTTTTATTTTTATATTATATATATATATATTTTAATTCTATAATTTATATTACTACAATAATATTATACTTTTAACATAAACCATGGTTGTGGTGATTTTCATTTAAACAAGTATTGTGTGTGGTAAATGTGACTTAGTGAATTTAATATCAAATAAGGTAAATAACGTGAATCGATTATGTATGACAAGTAATTTTTTCGTAAATGAAGTTAAGTAAATATTTCCTAATTATTCATAAACAAATCATCATAAAACATATTCATTTTCCCCTAAAATGCCCTAGAAATCACTTAAAACTAGTTTTAGCTTTTTTCACAACAAAGATCACATCTGTCAAAATCTACACCTGAGTAAAGATTTCGATATAAAAGTCGTGATCACTCACTTGAGTATGGATCAGTGTAACTCGTTTAAAGTGACGTTCAATAATAAAATCTCTACTTAAAGTTAGTTTTAAGACTAGATTCACGACTGAGACACCTTTTAAAACATGGGCCTCAAACGGCGTAGTGTGCGTTTATTTCAAATCAACTCGATCGTCACCGTGACCGATTTCGGCGTTGCCATTAGTCCGCACTGAAATCTTGACCAATCGCAACGCCCGAATGGCGCTCGACTTCGAGAGCGTGTTGATGTGAAATACCCTCACACTAGGCAATCAGAAGGTGATGACCTCTGTTGGTCTCCATTCGATTAAATAAAAGCAAGATACATAGGTACCCACTATTATCTGTTCAGCCAATGCAAATTAATGCGGGATAACATTTTATTTTCTTGTTTTAAAAACAATAGGAAAGAGAATGGATTTGAATTCCCATTATTTTTACTAGGTTCATGTTTGACATTTGATCAAACAACCTTATCCTAAAAGCGTAGTGCAAGTTTCTTTTACATCAACTCGCTCTTGACACCAAGTTTCAGTTATATTTTCACTTTATGATAAATACATCTAAAATTTCAAATATTGATTAAAGTATCGCCTAAAATCGAAATCAACCATTGATGATCGAGTTGGGAACCCATATGCCGTTTTGGTTATTTAAGGTTATACATAACTACCTATCTATAACATATATGGATTTTCCCTTGTAAGAAATATGTTTGATAATTATTGTGTTTATGTACACACTCACCTTTCCTAATTATAAAGTCTGAATTAGTTACACAATGGTCTCTGAGGCAGATGATTTTGAACATTAAACTACAAAATAGTAATATATTGGACATAAAATAGGTTGCAAAACAAGATACTTAATTGATTTCCTCTTGTTTATCTTGAATTGAAGGAGTACAAACAAACAGGCAAAAAAATTAAAGAAACAAAATATAATAGCAGTTTTTTTTCAGTTGTATATTTTTTAAACTTAAATCAAAAGGCAGTTTTGTAACATTTAAGAATAAATTATTATATCACAAATTTTGCCTAATCTAATATCACAGATAGATAGAACAAACTCCAAATGAAAAATACATGTGTAAAAAATATGTTTTTAATAAAAATTATAACTAGCAAACTATAATTTCAGATTTATCACAATATTGGTGTTGAACGGTTAAAATTCATAATTTAGCAAATATACAATTTTCATACTTAGGATTTAATGTTTACTACTTGTACCTTTATTATATAATATATATATAACCTCTTTCAGAGACAGTATTAGAATATCAACATTACTAAACTTCTTAAAATGTTTTAAATCTACTTACATGTATTGATCAACAGAACAGATATTGTCATTTGACAAACCAACACTAAGGCCTTGACAGACAATATGACAACAGTAGGTACAATCTTATGGCATAAAAATAAAAATATAGTGTACTATTTTTTTGTCCTATTTTGAGCTCTATGATTACTGGTTTTATATATGTTAATCTCATCATTTAAATTCTATCCATCAAGTCTCTGTAGTCAATCCAGTCTTAAAAATATAAAATCAACACAAATATTCTTATTACAATATTCCTTTGAAATGATCTCTTTTGAAAATTACTAAAAAAAAAGTATGAGTGCACAGATAACGACAAAACATTATAAAAACATACTCTGTACAGACAAATATTAACTACAAAATGCTGTACAATAACAATTAATTACTTAGAAACAGTAAGCCACAAACCAATTATTAATTGGTAAATACACATTTTCTGTAAATATCCATGACTTATAATAATATAATACAAAGTTCATTTGACCTTAAGGGTTTAAACAAGGACATAACAAGGAAAACCCTGCAATAAATAAATACATAAGAGCACTCTAGAACATTATTCTGAATCAATAGTTGAACAGTAAATAATTAACTTGCACAATCAATTACAAGTCAACCATTAGAGGAAAAGTTTACTTATTTAATTTAAAATAATATGTAGTAGTGACTTCTGAATTTTCGGAATATCGTTTGTTTCAAATTTTACATTCTTGGTAACTTGTGAAACTATATAGTAGGAACTTTCTTTACGGTTTTAACTAAAACGGTACTAATTTTGTATACTCATACCATGCTAATAAACATTCAGGAGCATTTTAAATATATGTACCTATGTGTTTAATTGCATGAAGAATATTTAAATACATCACATACCTGTAGAGATGGGGACTAATCCACCTACATGGCTAAGTGACCATTAGATAGTCTAACCATACAAGTACATTATTGCAAACAATATTCCATTGCAACCTAACACATGTAGTACATGATATATTCTCATATATGCAGTATTAATGGGCAACTAACTTAACAGATATAAATTGATAAGCTAATAGCTGTTGTAATTAATGGAAATAAACTGGAACAAAACATGTCAACATTCTATAAATACGTAACAAAACCAGAAAATCTAGTAACATGGTATAATGTTAAACATTGACAGAATACATTTTTTCACAAAGTTCTAGTTCCACATTGGGTATCAACAGCAACAGAATAGTTATGTTACAATGCTCAGTACAGTGAGGGTGTCTTATAAAATCCACCAAATACAATAGAATTTGTTACTTTCTCTATAATAATGTATGTGAAAGGTCTATTTGCTTGAAACTGTACTATCCCAATACGGTTGCTAAATTCAGCCACGGTCACACCGGCAGCCGTGGTACCCTCCTCAGTAACTTCTATACGAGCCTTATGAACTATTTTAGATACATACAATGGCGTTCTTGCAATTTGTGGTAAGAAAGCCTTTGGGGTAAAAACTTGTTGAATTCCAAAACTATGTTTTAATACATTTGTTAAATCTATGTCGGATTCAATTTTGAAACGGGGAAGGAAACAATCAATTTCATCATCGGAATATTCTTCTTTTGACACTCTTAGTTCTTCAAAGAATGTGTCTAGATCATATTTCTGGAAGTTTTTGAACATATCTTCAACAGACACACCTGGGTTTGGCAACATTATAAGCATAGAGAGCCTATTCTCTTTGCCATAGGGTAGTTCTACCACTCTCGCTTGTAACTCTTTGAAGTTAGAAAATGGATATGTGTATCTATTATACATCATGTTTACATCTCCAATTTTCTTTCCTTGGCTATCATAAAAGGGCATCTTTGTAGTAGATGATGCATTGAATGGCATTGTCCACTGTCCTTTGAAGTATAAAGCACTAGTCAAGACCATAGCTGTATTTTGAAAGTACTCAGGCTCCACAATTTTTGGTATCAATCCGTGAGTAAAGTTCGAGATGGCATTGTTGAGGGCATTTGCTCTTGTAGCACTATCCTTAAAATCCAAGGCAATTACATCCATCTCATATTCATCTTTCACATTTTGTTGGTATTCGGCCAACGGTAGACGGTTTTTATCGACAAACATTGTGTTTACTTTTGATAGTTGGACCGTGTCAGTGTTCACTTTCAACCATTTGGTGATGTTCTTGATACTGTATTGAGTTCTATTCTCGTCATTTGGTGGCAATCTAATGGCGTGCTCGATCTCAGTTCTCGTTAATCCGAAAGCACCCTCGGCGATTGCAGCAAGTACGTTCCAAACGGTGAAGGGAGACATAATAAAATTCTCTCCCTCAGGCAACAGCTTCGCTGTATGGTACAAAACTTCTATGGAAAAGTTACCGATTCTCTCAGACAAGTCATTGTGTAGTTTAGCATGTTGTACTGTAGGATTTTGTATTTGTGCATAACCCACACCTAAAGTTAACACTATCATGAATATTTGCATATTGCTCACAAAACTAAATCACTGGTCACTTACACTTATAAATGTGTATCACTTGATATAAAACTTAACGTGATATAACATTTGCAAAACGATTTAACGACGTTTACGTGTAGCGTTTTGATGGAAATCCGAACAACACTGTTTCACAACCGGAGCTTCCGACAGTCAATCGAATAATGAAACGAGCGAGCGTTGTAACTTTATATATAAGAGAGTATAAACCTGTAGTCTAGATTCTGCTATGAATATAGTTTGTTGTTATGACTCACTATCAAATTAACACAACACAATGGCGTATGCACTGAGTAGAGTGGTACTATTAGAGAGGCGTATGGCGTTTTAAAAGGATGACCATTGACCAGTATATGCATTGAGCGTGTAATATAATAGATAAATGAGTATATAAGTACAAGGTCAAATACCAATCAGTCTAAATCTAATTAGTGATTTGTTGGGACCTACTTTAAACAATAGATATAGGTATTTGAAGAAATCGATACCTGTACCCATTGATACAGGTGTTTAACTCAATGCCTGTAGCTTTTTAAAATGTGTAATTTAAAATATATACCTATAGGTACCTAATATATAAATCTAAGTTTGTGTATACTTCAGACAGACATTGAACTCCAAAGTTGTATCGATATCAATCGACTACCCTGTTGACCCTGTCTAATGTCGGACTTGGCTCCTTAATCTGTTACATCATAACGTGCGCGGCCCTTGGCAACAAGCTTCGAAGTTCCTTACCGCGCGTTACACGCTCTGAGCGGATGGGAACGAAACCGTAAAGTGTGGAAATACTTTTACCGACCCTTCTTGCAGAACTTCCTTCATAACATCCTTTCGAAGAACGGATTTTGAAGTACTTTTTCCTAGAAGAATTTGCCGAGAGTGAATAAATAATTGACGTGCCTGCTGCTTTCCTTAGCAGCAGGCATGCCAGTCTTTGTGGTTGAATTCGTTAATCTCGAAGATCTTGTTCAGAATAATGGCACAAACCTATAAAATTAATGTATTGTCATCAAAATTAAGTTTTATAGACGGTGGAAATCACGTTTAAACATTCCGTCACGTACATAAAACGTAAAGGTATCGCAAATTAAAGTTTTAAATGATTTTGTTTCATCATGAATCATAAAGATGATACTAGTTTACTTAAATTTTGAACAATAACGTATGTTTTTGTTGCAAAATAACGGCTGTAAAATATTTATTATATATATGTCGATATATAATTAAATAAATAAGATCGTCATCAACAATTGCCGGCAGCCGCATCAGTCTCTCTCCATCTCGGGTGAACACCTGACAATTCAAAACAATTTATTTTAAAACAACTTTTTTGCTTTTCGCAGTAAATTGAGATTTGAAATGGGTTTATCCCAAACGTCAGAGTATTGCAGGATAAAAAGATAGCTTGGTCCCTCCAAAATACGTCAGAGCGCAAAAAAACCCGTTTTGCCGTTAAATCAAACTTCAAAAGAAAGAACAGATTATATTTATCTATTTTAAATCAAATAAGAAGAAATTCAGTGTATATTATTTAACCAGCAGTCCATCACGTACCACATCGATGGCCGCATCGAATAAACGTGCAAGAGTTCTTAAACGATTTTTTTTTCAATTTCTCGATACCTTAGCCAACCTTCCTATCCCCCTTTTTTTTTTCCGTGCGGAAATCCCCTCGGATACCACCTGTCGGTGGCATGTCGGACACGAACCGACTAAAACCGCACGCCGTCTCGGGTACTAATAGCCGGGGAACCAGGTATACCCTAGAAAGGAAGTCCCTGGTACCCCGACATACCTCGGGTCATCTACAGACGAGTAGACGACCCCCCCCCCCCGTGTGGGAACCACATGTTCCCTGTGCTCCCTTCGCAATGCGCTCGCCGCCTCCCCGGCCTGCTTCTGCTAGGGTGACAGATGGCCCCACCTGTCACCCCCAGGCCTGCGGTTATGGAGGACGGAGGTCGTTCTGCGACCTCCGGCGCCTGAGTCGCCTGCGGTACCTGGCCCGTTCCCGGGCCTGGCGGGCCGGGAGAGTCCGGTCCCGCTCCGCCGTCTCCTTCGCGAGCATAACTTGCTCGCAGAAGGAGACGGCAGAGTTCCACGCACTCTCGCTCCGCACGATAGCCGCAATCAGGCTATCGAGCGAGAGAACTCCCACTCCGATGGCCGCCACGAGGTCTCGCCTCTGCTCAACCCACGCCGGGCACTCTGCCAGCGTGTGGAGAGCTGAACCTTGCTATCCCCTAAATTTTTAAATAAATTTTAGTCCAAAAATGCATTTGCAATCGTACTTGTTTCCTTCTCTCCACGGAAATAATGTAATGTTTTTTCACAAAAACATAAAAATATGCGACTATCACACTTTGATGCATTCTTCATTACACAAAAATAATCATTTTTAAACAGCAAAACGTTTGTCATTGTTGGTTATTAGTCCGGTCAATATAGACATTTGAAATAACAAGATTTCCCGGAAAGCCAAATATTGGTGGAGAGCTGGGGTTTACCATTACAAATAAAGTTTGAAAAATCCCCATCGATCCTGTGTGCTTCAAAAGTTATTCCATCAAAAGTCAGCTCTCCACGAATATTTGGCTTTCCGGGAATTTTTGTTATTTGACCACTATTTTTATGTCTAAATTGACCGGACTATGGTGCTAATTCTGTTGTTCAAAAACTCTCTAAACTAAACTAAAAATCCCTAAAAAAACATGTCCTGCTAAATTCTACGTTTTCAGAACAGTAAACGTTATTTGATAGGACGAAACAAATTTTTAGTGATTTTTAGTTTAGTTTTGAGAGTTTACAAACAACAGAATTAGCACCAATATCTATCATTTAGTTTAGGTTAAATTTATCGTGCACGCCGTCATCGCGGCGGTAAGACCCGTTATGGAGGATTGGCACGAGAGGCGTCACGGGACCCTCTCATACCGATTGACGCAGGTGATCACTGGGAAGGGATGTTTCGGGGATCACCTGTGTCTGATCCGCAAGGAGCCAACGCCTGAGTGCCAGCACCGCGATGGCCAGACCGTGGACACGGCTCTCCATACGCTGGCAGAGTGCCCGGCGTGGGTTGAGCAGAGGCGAGACCTCGTGGCGGCCATCAGCACAGGGAACATGGGGTTCCCACACGGGGGGGGGGGGGGGTGGGGTCGTCTACTCGTCTGTAGATGACCCGAGGTATGTCGGGGTACCAGGGACTTCCTTTCTAGGGTATACTTGGTTCCCCGGCTATTAGTAGCGTGCGGTTTTAGTCGGTTCGTGTCCGACATGCCACCGACAGGTGGTATCCGAGGGGATTTCCGCAAAAAAAAAAAAAAAGTTAAATTTATCGGTGCATTTTTTTTTTAATTTTTTATGGCTAATGTATGTTACCCGAGAAGTACGTTTGCATAGTATGATTTTGCGCTATTCTTCGAATACTATAATAAATAGGTTTCCCTAATCTTTATTAATAATAAAAAAGTAGAAGGGTCAGGGTCACAAGTTGTACTATTCTTTAGTGTTTTCAACGTTGTTTGTTGTTTGGTTGACAATAGTATAAATTATTTTCCTTATTTTTCTGACAATAGTTCATTGTTGTGGTCATTAAAAATTAAAATAAAAACGGCCTAAAGTAATGAGACAAGTTCCTTCCCCGAGAATCGTCCAAATTACGTACCTAGATTTTCGCTTTTCAATTGGTCTTGAAATCCATGTCATGTTCGGTTTAGATCATCACACACTTCAACGCAACATGAAACGTACATCTTAACAATGACAGTCTCCGTCATTCTATTTTTTCGCGCGTCCAAAACCTTCACGTAACGTGAGGAACGCCTCCACGCTAACAGTCAACGTCATGCCCATTCCCGCGCACCAGAACCTTGTACACAGCGTCTGACTGCTAATAGTCAACGCCATGCGTCAGGAAGGGCAAAAGTCATCTCGCCCTTCCGAGACCTTCATGCCACATAAAGAACGTCTGATCCTTCACAGTCATACTTATTAACGGGTTTCAGAAACTTTTCCACAGCGTTAAATTATAACACGGAATTGACGTAATAAAATCAATTCAAAGTGTTACTGTAAAATAATAAAGCAATTAAATTTATCAAATCTAATTTTTTTTAAAGACAACTCTCGCATTAGGAATAAATCTTGTGTCGCTGGGGACTTTACAAACATACATAAAACGGACACAAAGAACACCCAGACTCAGAACAACAATTTGTGGATCACACAGTGGGGATCGGACCCACAACACTCAGCGTAGTAGTAAGTGGCGTGACGACCGCTTGAACCACTACGCCATCCGTGCAGTTAATTATATAATCGTGTTTGTGAAGGATTATATCATTACTATTATTGTATAATTGACTGCACGGATGGCGTAGTAATTTAAGCAGTCGCCACGCCGCTTACTACTACCCTGAGTGTCGTGGGTTCGATCCTCACATGGGACGACACTTTGTGTGATGCACACATCGTCGTTTTCAGTCTCGGTTTTCTTTGTGTCCGTTTCATGTATATTTGTAAAGTCCCCCGCGAGACAGTACATACTGCTAGATGTCTGCGGGAGATGTCTTTTTAAAAAGAAGAGAGAAGAATCAGGGTGAGGGGGCTTCGGTAACATCAGTCACTAGGTAAAAAATAACCAAAGAAATGATTAACACCGGTATTCTGCGAGGCCGTAGTATCACTGCAATCGAGCCGCATATAATTAATTGCCGAAAAACGGCGCTCCATAATATGATTGACATATTGTTTATTTTATCTATACACTAGTTGATCTGCACTGTGGGAGTCTCCACATCACTTCATCGCACGCTCCCCAACAGGCCATAGACAGCGACTCATCAAAATATCGACTTCCGGTCTTGGAGTGATGTGGCGACTCCCACATACAAAGAAACCGAAACACACTACAGCGCCATCTAACGAAGACAAACCAAACTACGGAGTAACTCCTGAATGAAAATTGCTAATCTTGTATGTATATGAAGAATTCTCTCGCCGATTAGCATATATACAATTTCCAAACATCAACGCTTGGACCGCGGCCCGCCAGGCATGATCACCACGCCTGGTCGAAGGATCCTCCCTTTGTGTTGGAGGGACCTGACACCCGTTCCTTCACAGTGGTTACCGTGGTCGTCATTAAAAGGGATAAATTTTCCAAATAAACTTTTAAAAGACCACTCCCGCATTAGAAATGTATCCTGTGGAGGACTTTACAAACATACATGAAACGGACACAAAGAACACCCAGACTCAGAACAACAATTTGTGGATCACACAAAGTGTCGTCACATGTGGGGTTTGAACCTACAACACTCGGCGTAACAGGAAGCGGCGTGGCGACCGCTTAAACCACTGCGCCATCCGTGCAGTCAAAGCGGTCGTAGCGTGATTTGAAATAGCCCATAACCTTCTTCGATGAATGGGCTATCCAACACAAACAAACAAACCCTTCAGCTCTTAAAGATATAAGTTTAAGTTAACGAAGGTAAATTAGGCGTATGAATAATCATCTCGGATAGTCAGTTTTCCGTTCTACGCAAGGTCGATTCCACTCTGATGTTCACAGACATATTATGTATGTACGTGTAAAAATAATATTAAATATTTGTGTGGTTGGTATGTACCGATATTGTGTTTACCTACATATTTAGAATGTTATAACATTTAAATAAAACTGAGTGTGCGATATTGTTCGAATATTTTCCTGTTTAAATGATAATGACTTGGAAATTTAAATAGGTAGATCCTTGTATTGTTCCAACTTATGCGATTTTTTCTCGTAATCTTTAGTTCCTTCTGAGAAACCTATTAAACATTTATTTATATTTATTGATAACATTATTGTGATTCTTTGTTCTTTTGCCGTCTGAAAATTAGCATAATAAAATCTTTAGTGTTATTTATCTGTTAAAATAATCTGGATGCATCTAATTTTAATGATGTGTGTTTTATATGTTAACTAGCTGATCAGCGCAACTTCGCCTGATTCTCTCAAAAGGAATACATTTGCCCCGTTTTTTTGCAACATTTTTCATTGATAGCTTTCCTCGATATATGAGCTATCCAACACTAAAATAATTTTTCAATTCGAACCAGTAGTTCCTGAGTATGCGCGTTCAACCAAACAAACAAACTCTTCAGCTTTATAACATTAAAGTATTTTATATTTTTATTTATTAAATTTAATGACGTAGAAAATTAGTTAATTTTCTTTGAGAACAAACGCTGACCCGTGATTATATTAAGTCAAACTATGCAAATACAATACAGGTGTCAAAGTAGTCTACACTACCAAAGATTTTAATTTTGACCAGACTCGACATCCAATAGATTAGATAGCCAGGCGCTATCACGAAACAAAACCACATTTCAGAGAGCTGACAGACACAACAGGTCCGATACCGCATTCGGTTATTTGGATCGGCCAGCGCCCAAGGTAATATAAGTTTACGGACTTTACTGACGTCTGTTACGGACAATAGTCCGTAAAATAATCTTTAAAAAACCCGTTAACCCGTTTCACGCCGCTGAGTGCCAAGGATGTTTAAAATAAAGCAGTTCCAGCTTTAAATCAGGGAGGGTCACATTTGTGTCACATATATGATCGTGCTCATCTCACATATATTTGTCCTGAGTGGGAATGGAACCCACAACCTCTGGCTTAGCAGTCAGGATCGCTGACCACTAGACCGACTGGCCAGTGTTATATGTAGATCTTTAGATAGATACATTATATGTATAATAGAAGCATGTTATAGTAGAGAAAATCCGAGAATTTCAAAGATTTGTTGTAAGAAACATGTTTTTGTGCGCTCACATTGCAAACGCTGGTTAAACCTTACGAATTAGACCAAAAATGAACTACGGAATTATATATCTACAAAAAGTCCGCGATCGTATCTATCTCCTAAGGATAACCCACAGTAACCATTTTTATCTTTTAATATTACAAAAAATTATAAGTTATTTACGAAGCTATTTTAAACAATACATTATTATTCCTTATCCAATTATATACGTTGTACATTTAATGTAGATTAAAATAGCTCTGTACAGTTTATCATTAACATTAATACTTTAGAAGTTATTAGAGGTTTAAAAGGCAAGGGCCCAACCACCGGCAGGATCGGAGCGGGCCTTTAAATATTGCATAATTAATTATTGCACACTGACACCACATTAGTAGTATCTGCATTGCACCCGTCGAACCTTACGTCCGTCCCGGGTGGATCGGAGCTGGCTTATAAATATTGCATTTAAAGATGTCTTGTAGTGTAGTCCTATCATAATAATACCTAGTATAATTAATTAGTATTATCAGCAGTATCTACATTGTACCCGTGCGGAGCCCGGCGGATCGCTAGTATATTATAATAAAAACCTATTCTTATTCCAATCAACGAATACGTGATTATATCCGGAAGCCATTATAAATTAAAATGAATTAATAGTTAATGCTAGTAGAAGTATCAAGGTAATTACAATAATTTACAAACGTTGTACATTTATTAATAACACAACTCTCGTATTAAATACTGTTTCTATTAAAACAATTTAAGGTCCATTTTTGGTTAAGAAAAACAAATTACATAAATAATTCAGTATAGGGAAGGTTGCTTATAAAGTCCACATATAACAATAGTATTAGTCTCTTTTTCTACTATGAGATATACAAAAGGTCTATCAGCCTTGAAGGTTACAATGCCGCTACGGCTTTTGAACTCAGCCACAGTCACGGCAGCAGCTGTTGTACCCTCTTCGGTCACTTCTATTTGAGCCCTATGGAACATTTTAGATACGTACACCGGCGTCCTCGCTATTAGACCTAAACGTGCATTTTTTGGGTCAAACAAATCCGTAATACCAAAATTTTTTTGTAAAACGTCAACTAAATCAATCTCCGACTCCACTTTGAAACGGGGAAAGAAGCAATCTACTTCATCATCTGGATATTCTTCTTTGGATATTCTCATCTCTTCAAAAAATGAGTCAAGATTTAGATTTTGCATGTTTCTAAGCATGTTTTCAACAGATACGCCAGGATTCGGTAGCATAACAAACATGGACATCCTATTTCGGTCACCATAAGGCAGTTCTATAACCCTGGCTTGTAGTTGTCTAAAGTTTGAGAGTGGATATGTATATCTTTTATGCATCATGTTCACATCTCCAATTGTCTGACCTTCGCTGTCATAGAAGGGCGCTCTTTTGGTTTCACTCGTGTTAAACGGGACAGACCACTGCCCCTTGAAATATATAGCACTTACTAGCACCATATTTGAGTTCTGAAAATAGTCGGGCTCAACGATTTGTTTTATGACACCGTTAGTGAAATCCGCAATGGCTCTATTTAACACACTGGCTACAACAACACTGTCACTGAAGTTTAAACTAATGACATCCATCTCATAATTCACTTTAGCTAAGTCCTGATAATGCCTTAGTACTAAACTTTTTTGATCAACAAACATGGTATTTAGTTTCGTTAGTTTCACCGTATAAGTGTTCACTTTCAACCACTGACTGATCTCTCTGTAGCTGTTTGAAATATCTCTTGTCCCTCTCCATCTAATTGCGTTAAAGATCTCTTCTCTTGTGCCTCCCTGAGCACCCTCGGCGATAGCAGCGAGTGCAGTCCAAATAGTCAGCGGAGACATAATAATATTTTGTCCATCCTGTAATGTTCGCGATGTATGGTATAATGCTTCTATAGAAAAGTTACCTATTCGGTTCGGCAAATCATTGTACGGCGTATGAACTTGTGCATAACACAAGGCCATAGACAACACAATTAATACTATTGCTTGCATATTTATACTTATTCGTAATCACAAATCACTAACACCTGTTTTATTGTAGGTAATGTAAATTTGAAAATTAAATACGCGCCACGGAGAGCGCAATACCGCGCTGTGTATCTATTGCAGTTCTTAATACTGACTGGTAAATATTAATGTTGGACGAAAACTCGTCAAACTACTAGTATTTGTTGAACAAGCATTGCGCGGGTTTATTTTGTATATCGCGGTAGGTAATGATGAGAAAAAATAAGGTAACTTGTTATCTACATCAGTATCTCGTTTATAATTTGTTAGCCGCCTACTTCAACTGTTTAAAATGTACATATTATGTACTATTATATAATAGTGCTAAAGAGTTTTTTTCGACGGCTTGACGTCATAACCTCGAACTGGCTATTAGTGACTAATTTGAGTGATTATTTTCGATTTCGATTTGAAAAAATTGACTCACTTTTCATCGGTGTCTGAGGCTACCGGGTTAGGACGACAGTTCAAAGGGCGGCCACACACTCGTCACTTGACTTGCAGGTTCGTAAATAATATTAATGTTTATCGAGACACGTTTTTTTTTATGGAAACTAGAAGATTACACATATACATTATTAAGGATAGAAAAAGTAAATTCAGGGTCAATTCTCGTAATAAAAATTTGTTGAAATTACATTTCCCATCTACTTATGATCTTACAAATGTTATACATAGTAGTAGTAGTATTAGTAGTATTTTATATATAGTATAACTAAGTAAGTAAGTTTGTCCGTGTGGTGACGGATTAAGAATACGGATTGTCACCACCCCCATTCATCCCGTGAGTGTCGTAAGAGTCGACTAAGGGAGCAAACTACGCAGGGCAACAAAACTGCAAAGAGAAGGAAAACTTGACACAAACCCTATACCAACCCGTCTGGCCAGCGTGGTACAGTAGGCCAAAACCCCCTTTCTAAGGAGAGGCTTATGCCCAGCAGTGGACTGTTAAAGGCTGTTGATGATGATGATAACTAAACATAACTAAGACTAGCAGACTACCGATTCAACTTCAATTCACAATACGATAAAATAACATTACAGTCAACGTTGCTATTCAATACTTTACTACGAGAATACCTTTTATGACATTTGTGAGTTCGAGAGTAAATCAGAGATGAATTTTAACCGATTATTTCTTAGATACGAGAATTGTCCTTTTGGGCTTCCAACTAGATATACTCACGTATTTTTCGTATACCTACTACGTATTTTATATATAAGAAGGGGTGGACAGAGTCGTAGTAACTGCCCACATTTTGGCGACTATGAATTTTAATCTTACTTATGTAATAGGTTTGTACAACAAAGTAGTTGGTACTGAATTGAAAATTATTTCATTCATCCATATAAGTGCATCTATCTCATTCTTTCTCAGCATCGCCCAATCGGTCGACTTGCATAGAATGCCTCAGGCATTGGGTTCGCCGCCGTATATATTTGTGCATGAAGTCATAAATACAAAAAAAATATTTATAAAGAAACATTTATTTTGAAGGCGTAGTGGTTTGTGTAATGGACTGCTACGCCAAAGGTCGCGGGTGCAATTTCCGTTAAATTCTGACAGCCTCAGTAGTGTAGTGGTAGCATATGCGACTACTGTGCTGAGGTCTCGGGTTCAATTCCCGGGTCTGTCCAAATGTTTCTATGATCTGGGCTGGCTTTACTGCTCTGGACATAAGCTAGTAAAACAAAGTAAAAAGCCCTAAAAATATATCCTAACAAAACATAACAGTCTCGTAAATTATTATCAACTAGCGATCCGCCCCCGCTCGCACGGGTGCAATGGAGATACTACTAATACTACTAATGTGGTGTCAGTGTGCAATAATTAATTATGCAATATTTATAGGCCCGTTCCGATCCTGCCGGTCGTTGGGCCCCTGCCTTTTAATCCCTAATAACTTCTAAAATCTTTATTTTAATGATATGCTGTAAAGAACAATTTTAATCTACATTGAATACGCAAAGTATTTAATTGAATATAAAGTATATAATAAAATAGCTTCGTAAATTACCCATTATTATTTTTAATATTTAAAAGATAAAATATGCCATAGAGGGCGTGTTTGGTAATCTTTTTAAGATATACAATTCCGTAGAACATTATTTTAGTCTATCACGTAAGGTTTAGCCAGCGATTGCAATCACATTGCTCACAAAAGCATGTTGTATACAAAAAATTTTTGAAATTCTCAGGTTTGCTCTACGATAATGTGCATGTATTAAACATATAAACCTTCCTCTTGAATCACTCTCTCTCTATTGGCATTAAAATTCGGTGCTTACTTTAAAAGATCTAAGCGTACAACACAAAAAGGCGACTTTATTTTATACTATGTAAAGAAAAACTTGAAACAAACCCTATACCAACCCGTCTGGCCGACGTGGTATAGTAGTCCAAAACCTTCTTTCTAAGGAAGGGCCTTTGTCCAGCAGTCCACTGCTGGACAAAGGCCCTTCCTTAGAAAGAAGGTTTCATCATCATATTGCATACACAGTCTTTAATAGTCCACTATTAAAGACTGTGTATGCAATATGATGATGTGCGTATGAAATAAATGAAAGCATAAATATAAACTAAATAATATAATAAGGCAATACACTAAAAAATTCTAATTAATTCTTGATATTTCATAATTTAAAGGAATAAGCAAATAACACAAAATTAACACTTTCTTTTCCTAAAACTTTATTTGGAGTTATTATTTACGTGAAATCCTTTTCGCCAGTTCTTCCATCACGAAGTTCCTTTTGACCTTCGACTAGTATTCTTCCCACTGTTTTGATTAAACTAACTTTGAATGTAGAAACCTTTGTGTGTTCTTCAAAATCCAGCTGTTTTATATTCCTCTCGATGTAGTATTTAAAGGTGTTCCACAGCATCTCACGCACTTTAAGAAGATGATCTGCTTGACTGCAACAAGGGAAAATGTATTTAAGTACTCGTATATTTAAGGTTCAAATCGTAGGTACGGTAGCTACGATGTAGTACAATTTTTATCATATATTATGCAGAGAAATAAGTTTGTATTAAACTGATTTATTACTAGAGTTGAACATTGACCCCCAAATACAGACACTCGCTTAGTTTAGGGTAGCAGCATCAGTACATTTTATTCAAATACAACAACAATGTTCTACCAAAAATTGTAATGTGTAACGTTACAAGTTATTTAGTATCGTTACAAGTTATTTAAAAGTTCGATGATTTGCATCAATTATGGTCACGGATGGGGGGCTCTTTAATAGCGATTGAGTCCAGGGGGCCTAGTGCGTCGATCTCCTTTGAGTTAGCGAGTCTCCTGGCCGGAACTTCACCATGGGACCTGGAGGCGAGAGCCCTTGCGGCTCTGTATCAGTGGCGTGAAGAGGCGCGGTAGTTGGGTCGGAGTCCTAATTCTCAAGAAATCGAGGATCAGAAATCCCAGCTCTGCCAGGTCGTCGTGGAGAAGTGGAAGGAACGCCTTGGGCAACCAAGCGGGCACGCCGTTATTGCGGCGGCAAGACCTGTTATGGAAGATTGGCTCGAGAGGCAACACGGGACCCTCTTATACCGGCTGACGCAGGTGATCACGGGCAAAGGATGCTTCGGGGATCACCACTGCGATGGCCGGACCGTGGACACGGCGCTCCACACGCTGGCAGAATGCCCGGCGTGACCTCGTGGCGGCCATGGTACGGACACCGCCGTCTCCTTTTGTGAGCAATTTATGTTTGTGAAGGAGACGGAGGAGCGGGACCGGGAGAATAGGTGGGTTTTAAACAAAAAAAAAAAGGGGGCCTAGTGCGTACGTCGATCGTCGACGGCGACCACTTTCAGCGTTACGATTAGTGAAAACTCCCTGATTTATACATACGTCTAATGATGTTTACCAGTTAGTGTATCTAATATGTAGACAGTTTACAAGTCGCATGTTTGTGTTCACTATTCCGCTCCTAATGGTCATAGCGTGATGTCACTTATTATTTCTTAATGGCTATTCTATCCAAAGCAAAAATAATTCTTTGACTTTATTATATAGACGATATAGAAATTTCTACTCATATTTTAGCATAGTACGGTAATTGTTATTATATACCGTTTAACCTGCTGAACTGTTAGAAAGAAAGAAGTAAATAAAATGGATAATTAAAGAGAGAAACTTTTAAAGATAAAATTAATCAATACATAAATGTAGTTTTAGATTTTTGTTCAACTACATTTTAAATTAATGTACATACCAAATATATAAACATAACTAAGTTGAAATAAGGGAGAGACTAATTTCAAGTTAAGCAATCCTAGCCCGGTCAGTCTATAGATGGGTGAATATTCGTAACAGACAACAGTCTGCCTAAAGAAAAAAAGGGCTCGGAGGATGATGAATTTAGTTGCAATTAGAAATAAAGTTAATTCGAAAGACAATTTTACAAATTCATAATTTATTAATGCAGAGATCATTAAATCTGATAAGTTTTACATAAAAATTGACCTAGCAAAACTTCTTTCATATTTAGAGACGACAAATATGGCATGAGGGACTTGTGGGTAAGTGCTATCCGAGTTAAAAAATTACAAAGTTAAGAAATCCTAGCCAGGTCAGTCTATGGATGAGTGACCATTTTTAACAAATTGAGACCTCTCCGTGCCTCGGAGAGCATAATTGCAGCTCTAAATCTATCTGTATAACTTCGATATGGCCTAGTACTTGAGTTGTGGAGGTTTCATGGCAGTCGCTCCGCGTAAAAAATTGAAGTTCAGCCGTATCGTACCCGACGTAACGAAACTATGACTATTTAATATCAAATATGTTGATGTAATGTCCAGACTTTTCTAGAAATATCTACATAAAAAAGGAAATGGTTGAAATTAACATTAATATGGTAAACATGTTGTTCGGAAACGAGCATCTAACGTGAGGGAAAAAATATTTCAGAGAAAAAAAACCCGCCTCCACTTCGTTCGGGTACCAGAACATTTAAACGTCGCATTTTTTTCCTTGATGTCTTTTTAAAGGAAATAATCCCATGATATATAGGATTGTCACCATATTTCAGCAAATTATACATTACATTAAAGCATAACGCAACCGAACCTTCCTCATGAGTCACTCTATCTATTGCTGAAAACCGAATGTATGTTGGGTACGTTTTGTGTTTACCTCGTCGAGACTGATAGAGAGATAGAAGCGACGGGGAAGTTTATTTTGTAATATTTTACATTAATTTGAAATATGTATTGTAGTATTATTGGAATAGCGAGGCACAATATTGTTCTTCTTCTGCGCCACAAAGGACTTGTGAACATGAATCAAATTGAAATTCAATTTATAATCGCCCGTTTCCAAATGTCCCGTCTTGTGAGAAGAAATCGAGAAAACAAACTCACGTGTACACTTTTAATTCACCAGATATTTAATTTCACATTGAGATTTAACATCTGAAGTTTTAATGAATTTGTAATTAGGATATTTGATTATGATCGGATTATGTCGTTTATAATTTTATTTAAAATGTTTTCCAATAAACAATATTATAAATCTGTTAGTTTTGGTGTTCGACCTAAGCTCTAAAACTACCCGTTGGATTTGAAAAAATCTTTATAGTTTTCGTAGTAGTTCATTAAAAGGGATATATTTTCCAAAGAAACTTTATTTAAAAGACCACTCCCGCACTAGGAATATATTCCTGTGTCGCGGAGAACTTTACAAACATACATGAAACGGACACAAAGAACACCCAGGCTCACAACAATAATTTGTGGATTACACAAAGTGTTCTACCATGTTGGGTTCGAACTCATAACACTCAGCGCAGTATGAGCGGCAAGGTGACCGCTTAAACCACTACGCCATCCGTGCAGTCTTGGATACAGTATCTATTGATGAAGGTTATAACGTATATAACATCACGATACGATCTTTAGCAGCGAAACGGCGAGAATAAATGCACCTGATTAAGGCTAACGGCTAGTCTACACAAATAAATAAAATTGAAGTGTCTGTTTGTAATATCAAAATAATAGGTTTTTTTGGCTTAAATGGTTATTTGCACGAGATATATATGCTTAAAAACCAGTTTAAATATTTTTGTCTGACTCTGTTTGTTCCGGGTAATCTTCAAAGCGGTTGGACCGATTTTTATAATATTTTACTACCAAATAGCTGTCTCTATAAGGAGTGACTTACAATTTAAAGCAAACGAACCCGATGCCCAATGCACTGCGGTCGCGTACCATACTACACCACTAAGGCAGAGTTTTTCGAATTCCACGCGAACGAAGTCGCGGTTACCAGCTAGTATGTAATAAAATCTTCCGCTTAGTGAAGCTACTTACCTAGAAGGAACATGAATTTTTAGTCTGTGTTTAGGTATGGTCAGTATCGTGATGTCATCGTCTTTAGCGTTATCCTGTAACAAAAGTATTTGTTAATAAATATAATCGGTTTGTATTTGTGTGTGTGTGTATGTAGTTGTGCGTATGTGTGCTGAATGCGTGAATGCTGATATGTGTGTGTGTTTTTAATATTTTTCATTAATTAATTATTAAAAGCCTTTCTGTGTCATCGTATTCCAACTAGGTAGGTATTATGTTTAATAGTATCTATGAGGATTGAACTTGAATATGCCTATATCTGCGAAAAATTTATAAAGTTGTAATAAATGCCTGCCCTTTGTTGACCATAATGTGTCCGATATAGGAAATAGGAGACAAGTCTATTGACGCCTACAGACATTTTAGACATTTCATGAAAAAAATTGCTTTTGCCTGCCGCTCCGCCAGCGTGTCTGCCGATTATCACGGTAAAAAGTAGCCTATGCCTTTCCTCAAGAATTAAAGTATGACCATACCAAATATCATCTAAATTGGTTCAGCGGTTATTGATTCCCCATACAGCCTCCTTTTCGTCCCCTTAAAGGATGATTTCCGGGATAAAAACTACCTTAGCTTACCTTTTCTGGGCTATCTCTATACCAAAATTTCATCTCAACCGGTTCAGAGGTTTAAAGAAAAGACATGGCAAACTAAATACGCAGTCAGTATTACCTGCGTAGGTCGGTACTAGTATTGCAAATTTGAAATTAAGGCCGTGTGTACTTTAATACAAAACTTACCGAGTGTATTTTAATATCTCCGGGACAGAACAAGAGAGCGGTTTGGGGCGGTATGAGTGAGCTCTTGTACACCACCAGCGCTCGTCTCTCGGCCGAATGGTGACCGCCGAAGTACGCCAGCAAGTGGCTCTTTATGCTACGTTTAGTGATGTTGTGGTTCACACTTTCGCTTCCAATATGGGCTCGGTCACCAGTACTGCAGAAAATTAATATATCGCATAACTTGCCTTATGTTGTTTAGGAAGGGGTGTTATGTCCGTTCAACACAAATTGAGAATCCTCCGAACAGGTGATAATGTTTGGCGGACCGCGGATCGATGGCCGATGTTGGTAAGTTGTATACATGCAAATCGGCGTGAGATTTTTTAATATCGCGATACAAGTTCAGCAGTTACTCCGTGGTTCGGCGTGTTTTCGTTAGATGGCGCTAAAATGTGTTTTTGTTGCACTTTTGTTACAAAATTAAAAAGGAGCTTTTTATAATTTCGTCATTCGTGTAAGCCGGACTGCTAATAAAGATACTTATATATTTTTAAATATATACATATTTTAGATTAATTTCGAACAAACAGAATTAATAATCGTGCTCATCACACAATATTTTTCCTAAATGCGAATCGAACCCACCCTCTGGCTAACCAGTCAGGACCACTAACTTCTAGACCCCTGTTGGTCTAACCTAACCCCTAGGGGTTAGACAAAGCCATACATGAGAGTGTCATGACTTACCTTGTGAAAATATCAGTAACAGTACTCATTTTCCCTTTAGTCTTGATATGTCTGTTAGTAACGAGGAGGGAGTCCGCTCCTGACAAGAGAACGCCACACATCAGCTCTTCAATATCTGAGAAACGGTTCAATTCTTCGGCTTCGGTCGTAGGAGCTATCATACTGGATTTAAGGAGCTGTTCCAAATGAAGGTTTGAGAGAGCTGCAAGAAATTACATATGTAACCAAGTATAATCGAATAATGGGTAAACAAGCAGGCAGGTCACCTGATGGTGACTATCATTTTTATTTTAAACCACTACGCCATTCGTGTACTCCCATAGACACCTGCAACTGAAAAGGTACAAGTGTGTTGCCACCCTCTAAGCGCTCCCTCCCCCAAACTGGGGTGGGAGAGGCATTTTAGCCTCCGGTGTAACCTCACTCAGTGTCACCACCCCTTTTCATACCATGGGTTTCGTAAGAGTCGACTAAAGCAGCAAACTACGCAGGACAACAGCACTGCAAAGAGAAGGAAAACTTATAACAAACTCTATACCAACCAGTCTGGCCAGCGTGGTATAGTAGGCTAAAACCTCCTTTCTAAGGAGAGGCCTATGTGAGAGAAAAATTAAAGACTGTCCCTGATGATGATGATGATGAACCTCATTCACAATGAAAAGCACTTTTCAAGCAAAGCATAATTATAATCATTAGTACAATAAAGTATCTTACAACGTATATAAGCGAGCCTGTCTCCTCTCAGCGAGTACCTCGAGCAGTACTCGTCACTGGCCGTCCGCCCTTGCTCCTGCATCAGCGACATCCAATCTTCTTGTATGGTGTACAACGCCCAGTAGTCCGAAGTTGAACTATACTTGCGTTTGATTTCCCGAATTTCTATGAAAAAGTAAATACTATATTGCATCAACAATCATTTTTTGAGGCGTAAGTTTTTAGGCGATTTGATTATTGGATTGAAGTTGAGACTGAAATTTTAAGGATGCGTCACGTTTAGACACATTTAGTTATATGAGAAAGAAGAAAGAAAAATCATTTATTTTATCATACACTGAGGCATCAATGAAGGGCATGCAAAGAAAAAAAAATGACACTTAAAACAAAAGGATAAAAGACAAACAAAGTATCATTATACGAAAATACACATATTTATCTATCAGAATATAAAGTTCAGAGTAGAAAGAGAGCTATATCCAGGGCCGGTCCTATGGTGGTGCGAGCAGTGCGACGGCACCCGGCGCCATCAAGGGTGTGCGTTACCCCAGCAAAATAATGTCGAAAATGGTCATTTAAACTTTATAGATAATTAGTTGCTCCCCTTCTGTAATTGTTAAGCACATTTTTAAATTTGTTTCACTTAAACTTTTTTAGTTATTTCAAAAAAACATTTCCTGCTGGAGTAACGTTTGAGAGCAATTCTCAAAATAATGCTGAATAATTTTTATTTTGACTTTAAAAAAAAAAATGACAGTACCCTACTTGTTAATGTTTCCAATTAATAAAGATATAATCAAATTTTATTATTTTTTATAAAACTACCTTATTTATTTAATATTTCTTGAAAAAAAATATAAGTTTTGAAGGCAATGGTCTAAAAATGTTCTTATTACGTTACCGAATAAAATTCGTTAAAAATGAAAACACGTAAAAGATTGCAAATCTTTTTAATAAATTTTAAATATTTTAAATGAAAACACAGACAGAGAACAGAAAACTTTAATTATAAGATCAATACTTTAGAAGAAATAGACAACATTTTGTCCATTTCGTTACATTTGGAACACCTGCTTGGAAAACATTTTAAATTATTAAGTTCACAGGCAGAATCTCAGTCATTTTTTAATTAAAATTACAAAATAAATCAACAATCTATGCTATAACATTCTTAATTATTATAAAAAAAAAAGTTAAATATTAAGAGAAAAATCAGTCATCTCAATTAGGACAGTAACAAATTAGGAACTTTGGTAACAAAACGAGAACTTATAAGGCTGAGTATACAATACACTTCAAAACAATGTTTTTATTTAACATAATTCGAACTTAAGATTGAGAATGATGTTAATTAGCTATCTTAGAAATTACGAATTTGGTTCGAGTACAGTATTTTAAAAGAACTGTCGTTGAAAGTATTCATTAGTACAGTAGTACTATTAAAAAATATAATTATACTTATTCTAAAGTAAATAAATCAAAAATCCTTATAGGTAAGTATGTCTAAATCACAAATGGTATATCAAATAAACTTAAGTATTATTTAGTAATAGTTATGAAATTATTATAAAAATTACGCATTGCAAATCTCACGCTCGTCTGGAGTGTAATGATAATATAAGAAAAAATCACAATTAGGGCACCAAACATATATATTATCCAATAAACTCTTCATTCTTCTTCTTCTTCATTCTCCTTTTTCTCTCTAAATTTTTTTTTCTGTAGTTATCACATTTTTCTGGATCTTGTTTAAGGCGCTCTCTATAGCGTCTCTGCTTTTCTGCGTTTGTTAATGGCATTCTTGAATTAACTGCAAAGAATTGCATTTACATTTAAAACTAGCTAATAACGATGGTTTTTAGTAAATACCTAACTACGTTTAAGTCGCATACCTGCTTCATTCCGCCATGTGTAGAAAAAGATTAATTAACAACATTTAGTAAAATAATTTGAATATTTATTGAAAGGAACTACTGAATTATTTATGAATAGACAGCTCTGTCTCGACAGACGTTGTCTTGTGCACCCGATTGGCAGCGCCGGGTACAATCTCAACCATTAAAATTCAAACTTTCATTAATATCATGAAGATTCCTAGGCAATCACGTCAACTTAAAACTGAAATCTATTGTGACCTCAAAAACAGCTCAGCTGAGAAGAAACTCAGCGAGGGTTTTTTATCAGGGGAATTCAGGAAACCACACTCAAAACCACAACAAAAAATCGTAAAATAGAATATAACCCTAGAACCCGATTGAAGTGCCACCTACTTACTGGGTGTAATTGTTAATCTAAGCCATCTACGACCCACTTACATACAAACATACAGGTCAAACTGAGAACCTCCTTTTTTGAAGTCGGTTACCAAAAGAACTACATACTTATAGACATAAAGTAAAAAATGCAATGTAGACTTTGCCTTACGTATTCCTATTTTGTTACTTCATATTCTTCTTATACATAACCAAGCAAAAGTAACCAAAGAGGAAGTAACGAACATAGACTATAAGTTTCATTTCATGTATTTCTACAATAAAATCTAATAAAATCGACTGTATGTAATAAAATATCAAACATTTATTAAACAATTATCTATTCTTAATACTATAAACATTAAAAATTATAAACTTACCCTTGTTAATACAGTTACAAAACAAGAAGAAAATTTTGAATCCGGCGAGCACCACACAATGAAACGATATTTTCAAATGAATTTGACAAGTGGCAATGCTACTTTTAGCTTTACGTTCTTCTCAAATGTTAAGAGTGCACAGAAAACCATAATCTACTAACTTGTTTTTAAATATTTTCCATAAACCACGTAACAAAATAAGAAACGGCATAAGGAACTTTTTAAAGACATGTTATAAAATATATTTATTTTTAAAATATGCATTGTTTTTCGCAAAATTGTATATTCGAGGGATAAATTGATAGTAACAGCGTAAAATAGCACCAAAAAATTTAATGCCAGCCCATAATATTTAAAAATAAAGCTTATGGAAAGTCATACACTGCTAAATGGGACATATCACTCTCCATACATTTGCACACTCAATAGTTTATCTTTTTTGTTTTTTTTCATAAATTATCAATTTGTCATAAGAATGAAAGCAGGAATGTAAACAGTAATTCAGTGATTTTATTTATTTAATTATTATCTTGAACATAATATTTTTCTACCATTTAAAAAAATTAAGTCAATTTATGGGACAACACTACAATAATCATTCAGCATTATTTTGAGAATTGCTCTTGAAACGTTACCGCAGCCAGACATTTTCTTTTTTAATTGTAATATTGAAATAAATTTTAGCTAAATAATTAGTTATCTAGACTAGGTAAATGTTACAACTTATTTGGTATTTGTATTTTCTTCGGCTGCGAAGTTATTCGAAATCCTGCTGGAGTAACGTTTGTGGGTTTGCTGGATCTCTGAAACGGGTAAGCGGATTGTAACCATCTTTTGTACTTCTTAAGGATTAGTTTTAATTTGTTCGACAATAAAATAACAAAAATAATGGACCGTTAAAAAATTATTTAGGTAAGTATGAAAACACTTCAATACGTCCTAACACTTTAAATAAGACCTCTAAAGACTTGAAACGTTATTCTATTGCTTGTAACTTAAAAACCTTCAAATGTATACGAATTTTCGTAAGAATACTGTAAGTGACTAAAAAGTTATGATGAAATGTAGCTCTCCACGTTCACGATCACAATCTGTGCGGCCTGTTTTGGCCACCGATGAACCTGTGTGTGGATATATAAACTGAATGTTATGCCAATAATTAGTTGTTTAGTTCAGTTGTCTACCTGTAAAATTTCAGCGTAATACATATAATAATTTACGAGATAATTAAATAAAAGTCATTAGAAGGTGCAAGACCGTGGTAACCCGACCATGTTTAGGTGGTTACAAAAAAGCGATCACCCAGTACATTGTGCTGGCTTTTAAAATATGTAGGATATTATTTGCAAGTTTACTACGGATATGTACATAAGTGTTACAAAAAACTACATGTTTTTTAAATATTTTTTATTTAGGATTGTTTATTGCATAATTAGTAATCAGCCGGGAGATTAGGTATTGTTTTGAATGCTTTTGTTTTCTCGTAATGTTTAGGTGAATTGTTTATAGTTGTTCATAGAATTGGTACCTGCGTAGTATTTGTTAATTGAAGTTTAATTTTAGGGTAGGTGTAGGTAATTTAAGAAATATGAAATGAAATGATAAGTTTTGAAGAGTGTAACGTATGCGTTGTAAATAGGTATTTTGTGAATAGATGGGGCTTTTTTTAAGTGATGAATCGACTTAGGCTAGCATATCGCGAACAAACTCTGTATTGCATTTTTCCTGTAATAATGTTGGAGAAAATAAAATATTTGATCACAAAATCGCGGTGAGTTAAATTATAATAAAATAAATTATTTATGTAAAATTAGTAATAAGTGATATACCTACCTAAAAGTTATGATCGTTTTTATTTGTTCACCCTGAACGAAATTTCAATAGTAGCATTAGTAATTAATATCCTAAGACAAGAATTGAAAATTACTTAAATTGAATCGAATTAGCATTAATGCCTATTATTAGTAATTAGGTACACACATATTGAAGAACTCTCAAGAATACGTTAAATATTTGCAAAAATAGAAAGCGGAAGCGCACACGTACTTTACAACACGTATATTATCTGCCTAAGGGTCAAGTTTAGTGCACTAGATGCAAATTGCAAACAATGAAGTATCCCTTCGCCCCTCCCCTCCCGCGTTTTAGCGAAGGATGTATTATCAGCGATTCTTGATTGACAAATATTATCTGACCAATAATTTTATCTATAAAAATGTATCACTTTCACTCGATAAATTAAATTACCGTTATTATATCAAAATATCATTCAACAACTGTTCGTTTTTAACAGAAATCAACAGTCACGGGCTCAACGCTTAAAGGTAGGTACATAGGTATAGATAATTCTCGGTTCTAGGTATAGACCACAGAACAATATTACCTACTCTTACGGATATACGACTGCTGGGCGATGCAATGTTGATGCATTCTAATTTACAACTGTATTCTTCTACTATTCGGTCTATTTTAACTTATTGTAGATGACTTGTTGCTTTTAATATTTTGATGCATTCAAGTCTAAGCTCTATACACCCCAAAATAAAATACAATTACTTTAGTGTTATTTCTTTACAAAAAAAAAATCAAAGAAATGAAACGATTTCTTATTGGTTTAAATTTTCGTTTTATTGCAGTCAGGTGAATCGTTCATACATGTATCTACATATTTATAATTTTAGCGGACCAGTGCAGATTTTCTGTTGATTGTAGCTCCGGTAGTAAAAAAGACTAAATAAATTTTAAGTAAAGAAACTAGTGCTTAAGATCAATTAGGGAAAAAAACAAAATAAATAATAGGTAATAATAATGAATAAATATTGAATGTATTGAACACTGTACGCAACTGTACCGAAATCGTAAGGTGTATTACACTAAACATTTTAAAAGACAGCGCAATGTACTGGGTGATCGCTTTTTTGTAACCACCTAAACATGGTCGGATTACCACGGACTTGCACCTTCTAATGACTTTTATTTAATTATCTCGTAAATTATTATATGTACGACGCTGAAATTCTACAGGTAGACAACTGAACTAAACAACTAATTATTGGCATAACATTCAGTTTATATATCCACACACAGGTTTATCGGTGGCCAAAAAAGGCCGCACACATTGTGATCGTGAACGTGGAGAGCTACATTTCATCATAACTTTTTAGTCACTTACAGTATTCTTACGAAAATTCGTATACATTTGAAGGTAGTTACAAGCAATAGAATAACGTTTCAAGTAAGTCTTTAGAGGTCTTATTTAATGTGTTAGGACGTATTGAAGTGTTTTCATACTTACCTAAATAATTTTTAAACGGTCCATTATTTTTGTTATTTTATTGTCGAACAAATTAAAACTAATCCTTAAGAAGTTATGTACAAAAGATGGTTACAATCCGCTTACCCGTTTCAGAGATCCAGCAAACCCACAAACGTTACCCCAGCAGGATTTCGAATAACTTCGCAGCCGAAGAAAATACAAATACCAAATAAGTTGTAACATTTACCTAGTCCAGATAACTAATTATTTAGCTAAAATTTATTTCAACATTACAATTAAAAAAGAAAATGTCTGGCTGCGGTAACGTTTCAAACGTTACCCCAGCAGGAAATGTTTTTTTGAAATAACTAAAAAAGTTTAAGTGAAACAAATTTTAAAATGTGCCTAACAATTACAGAAGGGGAGCAACTAATTATCTATAACGTTTAAATGACCATTTTCGACATTATTTTGCTGGGGTAACGCACACCCATCAAGGGAGGCGCCGAAATCAACCGAAACGTGATAGGCTGTTTATACGCATGGCGAGCCTCGACAAGTGTCCACAAACACCAGCGTGTAAAGGGAGAGCTCGGCTCGATTTTGCAAGTCGTCGATCGGTACTAGTGTCGGTTTTTAAACACAGATCAAAGAAAGCTCGCGGCAAGCGTTTGCAACGTACTTACACGTTGGCGCGTGCTTGTTCCCTACTGCTCAATTTGATATTACAAGTATTGTAGTTGAGCAGTCGGGAATCAACATTAAGTCCCAATGCTCTACTGATTGAGCAGTTTAGTTGAGCAGTAGGGCTAGAGATTTCTTTTTTGCCGTCGTTTATACTTTGAATGAAAATATGTCCACGTCCACTGTTTGCCTGTACGAAACATAATAGCACACTCGCAAGCGAGTAAATGGCATGCAAGGGTTTAGTTTTTTTGGGACTAATCCCACCCACACGCCCACCACTGTAACTCCTGTACCGTAACACTGGATCCACAGCACTGACCCACGAATACACCGAGTTATGATACTCGGGAAGTCCCAGGAAAAAAATAAACTGTCTTGGAACCCGCAACGAAATTAATCAGAATAAAATTGGAGGAGTTGGAAATACAGTAAATCCACTTCCCTGCTTAGTAAAGCGGGCAAAGCCTCAGTGCTAATCGTCCTAACTGCCTTGCACAAGAATATCAGTGCAAGTCGTAGGCCTTGTAACAGTTTGCGAAGGACAGCGCCAACGGTTGCCCTATCGGCCCATACAGGTGTACCATAGCGCATAGAACCTAAATAAGTAGCACCGTATATAATCTTTAGTGTATTAAATGATAGACCCCATGTCGCAGTTGATATCCTTGTCAATGCACAGAAACTCTTTTTAGACTTTTTAATATGTTCGATAAATGAAGTTTCTTTCTAAAACTAATCCTAAATAACACAGTGAGGTTTTATTTTATACAGTTTACGAATTTAATGCTCGGCGGTGACTTGAGGGTATCTTTTAAAAGTAGCTAGAAGGTTTTGTAAGGTGCAAAAGTTAAAGCGATTACGTTCACCCCAATGAGATATCAAGTTCCAAGAGGTTTGTAAAGACTTTGAGCTTATGTTACACGCGTGCCAAGGCTTGGCAAACTGGCCGTTTGCTAAGCCTTGGCACGCATGTAAACTAGGCATGAGAGAAACAACTCGCGGGACTCTTCACGGGTCAGGGGGGCGAGCCGCGGGACGAAATTTCGTCCGTCACTTGTTTCGCTAGGCAAGAATTGTCTATTGAATTGTCAAATGAAAGTTACGTATTTAGATTATTATAGAAGAATTAGAAATAGAAAACAGAAGTAAGTATATAAGTTCAATCAATACTAATGTATTTTGTAGCACTACGATAAGAAAATATTCATTTACTCATGAAAGCGCACGGCGAGATTACACACATTTTAGATATGTATATTTTGTCTAAAAGGAAATGTATTTCTCATTCATAACTCATTTGGTTTGTTTTAATAAGAGTGCCACATTACATTTGGTAACGAGGATTTAATTATACATCCTGGAGGTGGATAGTGGAAGTTGTCAATGGTTATGAGTAACCACCTTTCGAGTTTAAACTATAACCGCCTTATTACACAATGCAGTTTAGTTTTAACTCCGAGTGAACAGGATGGTTTTAAGCAATTTATTGCTTCAAATCACGTTCTCAAGTTCTGTAAACGGATCTGGATTATAAGGCTAATCACGTTTTGTATTAAGAAATTCTTCAAAACCACCCCGACTTTTTTTTTACGTGTGGAAACTAAAACGCAAATGCACATCCACATACGGCTTTACCGTAAGTAAGTTTTTACCATTAAGTTACTATTGAGGAGAAAATAAATAATTTATTTTAAATAATTATTATTTTTCATTTGTCCACTACATCACATATAGGTACTGCCTACTGGTCAAACGAAGTTTTCTACGATTGGACATTTTTGATAGCCGTAATTTGGTTTAATAAGCAGCGGCCGCTGCTTATTCTGATGAAAAATAAAGCAACTGCTTAACAATTAAGCGTTTTTATTTAGAGGGGCGCCAGTTTTAAACCTCGCACCATCTAAAACTTTTGATAGGATCGGCACTGGCTATATCGTATCGATATCATCAAAAAGGGATTCATACTCGCAATGATTCGACAAGTCTGGTGCCTTAGCTTTTAAGCTACCGTTTCCACTACCGGCTTATAAATAATACACTCGGTTTCAGACGCGGCTACGTTCGCATTAATGTAATTTGAATCAAATAATTTAGGTAGCCCCCGAGAACAATATTTTTTCTGAAACAAAGGTCTCCCTTTCGGTACTGTTGCTAACGTGTATGTTATTATTTAAAACAAACGAGTTTATATTCGAATTTAGAGTTTCAATTTAAATTTTAAGTGTACACCACTTGGAGTATTCCTGCGTAATAAGTAGACGAACACGGTAAATGAAATATCTGGTCAGATTTACATGTGTGTTGTGCCGGTAAATATATCATTATATGTGTGAATTGTTTTTTTTTTGATAAGACAACTCTCACATTAGGAATATATCCTGTGTCGCGGGGGACTTTACAAACATAGATGAAACGGACACAAAGTACACCCAGACTCAGAACAACAATTTGTGGATCACACAAAGTGTCGTCCCGTGTGGGGATCGGACCCACAACACTCGGCGTAGTAGCAAGCGGCGTGGCGACCGCTTAAACCACTACGCCATCCGTGCATTCTTGTTTCTTTATTCAAACATTTTCAAATTATCATTGTTTCAAAACCATTCTGCGTTATTAATTTAAATGGTTTATTATAGTCACAGGTAGTTAGTACTACTCAGCAGGCATTTCGCTGCCCGTGTACATACCTTCCCGTCTGTCGGCGGCGTTCAGGAACAGTTCCGTGTTGGAGGAGCAGTGCGCGGCCGTGGTGCTGGCGGCCACCACGTTGCCGAGCACAGCCGAGTGGACCAGGCTGAGGCCTATGCGGGGGTGTAGCGTTAACGACGAAAGTAGACCTCCGAGGCGGGTTAGCTGTTCCTGAGGTGTTAGCGCACCTGTAGAAATATCAATATACAGGTGTTAAGAAAGATATGTTCAAAATTTAAGAGGATTATGTGTTTAAGTAAATCTCACCGATTTCTTTAAGGTCGCTAACAGCAAGCTTGATCGCCTTATCGCTTGGTGGTTCCGGCAGCTGCGAGAGGAACTCCGCTACACTTTCATCTGGGGCGTATGACTTGCAGTCCAGTACCGTTTGTTCTAAAGGTATTCTGAAATTAACTGTAGCAATAAATATCTACCGACCTATGAACAGTTTAAAAAAACCTTAGAACTCGGTCATTTACGAACCAATTTGGATGTATTTTTATTTGTATAACTATATATATGGGACTAATCCCACCCACACGCCCACCACTGTAACTCCTGTACACCAGGATCCACAGCAGTGACCCACGAACACACCGAGTTATGACACTCGGGAAGTCCCAGGAAGAAATTAAACTGTCTTGGAACCCGCAACGAAATTAATCAGAAGAAAATTGGAGGAGTTGGAAATACAGTAAATCCACTTCCCTCCTTAGCAAAGCGGGAGACAAAATGAAGTAAAATGGGCATACACCCTTTTAAACAGGGAAGCACCACGGCCACAAATATTACGGGTCCTACGTGAGCTATGTTTGATTTCTATAATATGTATGGCAGAATCGCCTAAACGCACGGAAATTCACCCTAGTTGACACAAGATCCCCATAGTATACCGCCCCAGATGTCACCTGCAAGCTATTCAGCATTATATTACGTTCATTATACCAAAGACTACATTCCCAGAGGATATGATGAGCAGACTGTTCATAGTGAGAGTTAGGTGTTGAGCATTGACACAATGGTGACTCGACTAATTTAAATGAATAAAGCTTGCTCTTAAAGTTACCATGACCCGTAAGAAATTGAGCGACACAGTGATCTACCTCAAGCCATATCCTCGACAACCGTTCGCGAACAGATGGAAAGAATTGGTAAAGATGGCGCCCCTTGGATGATTCATCCCAGCGTTGTTGCCATTCGTCAATGAGGTCATTTTAGACATCGGGCTGCTGTTGAAGCAATCTTGTAATTTTACCGCGATCCCGCGCGCCCAAAAAATCGCATTCCATGTTTTGTTGTCTTGAATAGTACATGGCTGCACGTCTCTGCACCTCGAGATCGACCGGAAGGACACCCGCCAACACCGGCAAAGCCTCAGTGCTAACCGTCCTATATGCCTTACACAAGAATATCAGTGCAAGTCGTTGGCCTTGTAACAGTTTGCGACGGACAGCGCCTACGGTCGCCCTATCGGCCCATACAGGTGCACCATAGCACATAGAACCTAAATAAGTAGCTCCGTATATGATCTTTAATGTATTAAATGATAGACCCCATGTCGCAGTTGATATCCTTGTCAATGCACAGAAACTCTTTTTAGACTTTTCATTAACTATTTTAATATGTTCGATAAATGAAAAGTTTCTTTCTAAAACTAATCCTAGATAACACACTGTAGTTTTATTTTTTACAGTAACATTGTCAAATCTAATGCTCGGCGGTGATTTGAGGTTACCTTTTAAAAGTAGCTGGAAGGTTTTGTTGGGTGCAAAAATTAAGCGATTACGTTCACCCCATTGAGATATCAAGTTCAAACATCTATTGGCTAATCTCTCAAGCCCCGCCCTAGTATCAGATTCCACCAGTAATAAGCCGTCATCAGCATACGCGTTCAGAGTACATCCGGATGGTATTGGTATCGCAAGAAAATCGTCGAAGCCGATATTCCACAAGTATGGACCTAGCACCGATCCCTGAGGACATCCCATTGTAAGCGCCTTCGACACAGAATGATGACCAAGTCTTAGTTTAGTTGTACCTAGTGAAAAGTACGAAGAGATAAGGGAATAAATATTTTCAAAGCACCCCCGTGATTTTAATTTCAGCAACAGCATGGGCCACCATGCGTTGTCGAAGGCGCCAGATATATCTAAGAAAATAGCCAGCACGTATTGAAATTTTGACTCTGTGACAAACTTTCTAACCGATATAACAGCGTCAGTTGTCGATTTACCCAACGTAAATCCAAATTGTCTATCATGAAATTTGACTCCACCTGGCAGAAGCCGGGGCACTACAAGACGTTCTAAAAGCTTTCCTAACGATGGTAATAATGTGATTGGTCGGTAGGATTTAGGATCATCCGGTGGCTTGTCGCCACTTTTTGGTATTATACGAATATTACCGCACCGCCATATACGAGGAAATATTCCTTCAGCAATGCAACGTTTAAAGACAGTGAAAATCGTGTCACCCGAAAGTTTACAAGCTTCTTTTATCATTTTGTTAGATATTTTATCATCGCCCGAAGCCTTGTTTAGCGGCAAGGATCTAATGATACCGAGAAATTCGTCTGAAGATGGTAAATCAGACATTGGAGACAGTGGTGGTTCGATGGCCCACTGCCTGATCTGTCGGTGATGATCAGCGTCGTTTTCCGGTCGATCGTCAGGTACGAGTGAGTCTAAAAGATATTCTGCTGTTTGTTCTACTCCTGTGGTATATCTGTTATTAATTTTGATGTTCTGTATGTATGCAAGGTCGATTGATCTATTTGCCTTAAATTCGTGATACAAAGGTGACCACGGGCCCTCTCTATCGAGTTTATCAACAAGTTTCTGAATTAAGTTTCCCTTGGATTTTTCCACAGCAGCTCTGTAGTGGGACCTGGCAACTCTAAGAGCAATGAGAGCATTGTTGTACAAATCTCCTGTTACGTTATATTTTTTAATAGTGTTTAATTTTCTACGAGCTTTCCGGTAGCTTCTACGTAGTTCGGCTAATCTATCATTCCACCAATCACATCTACGAGTGTTAGTGATAGATCCGCGACCAATAGTTACATCAGCGCAGTATGTAAAAGTTTCTGATAATATTTCTGCGCTTTCCTCAGCTGATAAACTACTGCGACTGAAGTCTTTGGTATGAGTTGCAAAGAGTGAACCAAACAAAGCCCAGTTCGCACCTTTAGTTTTATATCTAAAATTATAGGGAGCCCTTTGTGGATCCTGTGCCACCCTTGGTATGAATTCGTACACGATCAAGCGGTGATCACTACAGGATGCGTCCGGAAGGACACGCCATCCGGATATCGAGACGTCGCCGCGTGTAAGCGTCACGTCAATAGAAGACTCACCCATTGGGTTGCAAAAAGTTGGTGGTGCATCGGGGGTATTGTGAATAATAAGATTCATTTCCGCAATGAAATCTTCAACCGCACAACGTCGAACCGTGACGGTTGAACGCAACTTGCCATACCATAATGAAGATGACGCATTGACATCAGCGCCAATGATAATTTTATGTCCCACGAGGAACTGCAAGACGTAACGTAAGTGATGTAAGTGAGGATCAATAGGATGTGAATATTGAAAATAGCAGCTCACTACGTAAACCTTACAGGTAGAGGATGAGATCTCAGCAACGGCGCAGTGTGACGTCATAAGATTACGCAAAGATGTTACCGTAAAATTAGAACTTGCAACATATATCCCAGCCTGCGAACGGCAGTCAACCTGTACTACATTACGACGCAAGTGAGCGCTCTGATATTGTTCTTGTAAAAGGACAATGTCTAACTTTTGTTCTAAAATTAAACGGTCTAACTCTGATGTAGCTATTTTATCGTTAGGAAGATTTATCTGGCCTATCGAAATATTATTCATTACTTAGTAAGTTACTCTTTTAACCTTTTTTTTTTTTTTTTTTTTTTTTTTTAAACTAAGTTAAACTATTCAGTAATTGGTATTTAATATTAGCTGTTCCAGTTTTAATTTGTATGTGGCACAGTCGTATGAGCCGCATCGATGGTCAGATGGTTTCTTGAACCGCTTACACTGTGCGCACGTGGGCTTAAAATCTGGTGTGTCTTTATTTGGACAGGCTCGCGTTTCGTGTGCGGCGGCGCAATTAGCACAAGTAGGGGTTTTTATGGTGCAAAACTTTTGTACATGACCGAATTGCTGACAATTTAAGCAACGAACTACTTCTATATCGTCTATGAATCTACATGTGGCCCAGTCTATATAAAGTTTATCTTTTGTGTTGGCTAGATGTTTCCGAACTGCTGCCTCTAATTCTAAGCCTATCCATTGACGCCCATTTTCTAGTTTACGATGCCTAACAATTTTGGTTGACTTAATAAAATCGTTCTCACTTAATTTTAATTCGTCCTTGATATTCTGACAATAATAATTTTATATATATATATATATATATATATATATATATATATATATATATATATATATATATATATATATATTATTATTATTATTTATTTATACCTTTAGAACAATCCAATATCCCGAATGTGCAGTCAATATAACGCAATTTGCTCTGAGGTGGACATTTCTCACAATAGTTATAATCTGTTCATAAGTCTATTACTGAAACTATGTGCCCCACAATAATGTCTGTATAATTTCTTAAGCTTTCTTCCTTTTTTTTTTATTTAGGATCTTTGTGTTGTTATTTAATCGAACCTTAAACCAATTATTTTGTAATAATAATGGAGCTTAAGTTTATTATGTGAATTCTTTAGTCTGTTAACATACTCATATAAACTTTGTAATAGCAGTGTTTTACCTGAAATAAAACACACATTAAATACTTACCTTATTTGAAGCTTACTAGATTGAGAGTGGCGTTCTTGACTTCCGCTTTATTTTCCCTCTCTTTTGCTCTTTAGTGCTATTTATATATGTCTATCTCTTTCGCGCACATGCTTTCTCCCACCAGGTGGCGCTGTCAGATGACAGCTTAGGCTCGGTAGAGTTTTATATTTCATTGAGTCGATAATCTACACCAGGTAGAATTAGAATGTAAGCTTCAAATAAGGTAAGTATTTAATGTGTGTTTTATTTCAGGTAAAACACTGCTATTAAACACTTGACCGTTATTTGAAGCTTACTAGATTGAGACGTGTCTGTTATCACCTGGTGGAAAGAGGACGCCAATGTGATATTCATATTATTTGTATAAATGCAGTAATAATCATATGGGTTATTGACCTTAATACATTTATTTAACAAATTGGGGAAAATGTACTTGTTAATTCAGAACTAGGCCTTGTAATGGTTGGCACCACCTGTTTACAGTAATAACGGGCAAAGGTGTTTTGAGATTTCCAGTTACCCCTAGCAAGTATTTCATCTAAGGGGCAATTGTTAAGCCAACTCTTAGA